GCTGTCTCTTATTTAAGCACTTCTCCTGCAGACTTTCCTCGCCCTCCTGCTGTCTACCCTTCCAACACGTCGTTTGTGTGCACGCACGCACACACGCACACAAACACACACACACACATACACACACGGATTTCTTCGCTTGCGCTTTTCTCTCGTAATGAGTCAGGTCCTTGTTGCTGAAGAGCCTGCGCTGCCAAAGCCCGGGAAGGAAGTTTTTCAAGTATACGGATCAACAAACACATTAGACGGATCATTATGTATATGTAAAATTAATTAATTGATGTGTATATACATATATAATTCATATTTATATATATGTGTATATATATATGTATGTATATATATATATATGAATATATATATATATATATATGTGTGTGTGTGTGTGTGTGTGTGTGTGTGTGTGTGTGTGTGTGTGTGTGTGTGTGTGTGTGTGTGTGTGTGTGTGTGTGTGCTTGTGTGCGTATATATATAAATTGTTATTGAGAGGTCATTTGGCAGTACCAAACACACACACACACACACACACACACACACACACACACACACACACACACACAAACACACACACACACACACACACACACACACACACACACACACACACACACACACACACACACACACACACACACATACACACACACACACGCACACACACACGCACACACACACACATACACACACACATACACATATATATTTTTTGATTAAGATTATGTAGATATAGATGTAGATATCAGCACATTTTATTTGTAACATATACATATTGTTGTGTAAAATACAGTTAAGTAAAATTATTTACCACCCTGGCTATCTGCTTAGGCGTGGGCAATCGTGATTACAGTGTTTTACATATATTCGACATTCTGTAACTGTACATAGTATAATAAAATATAAATCATACATCATATAAAGAATATTATGTTGATGTGCTTAGCCATTGTTTTTACATAATACTGTTCTTTGGTTACGGTATTTTTACATAGTAAAATTAGGATATTGTACGAGTATATCTTCCAATGTATCAGATGAAATTAAATACATAATGCTCGAATGTTCGCTGGTTTGCTAGGTTACACAGTCTACATCTAGATTCATCTGCACCCACAGGAGGCCTTGCTATCTCTATACTGATCGTAGTGCCTTATGGTACAGCTTTCAGGCCTTTGAGTGTTCGTCAGATCTACCAGTTCTTCCTTGTGATAACTTTTCAATATATGTGCAACCCTAACAAGAGGCATCCCAAGATCTATGGTCACTTTTTTGTTGCAGGCTTTCTTAGCCACTTTGTTTGCGTGGTCGTGCATGCGTATGCCGAAATGAGATGGCTTCTATACAAATTGAATGCAGAAATTAGTTTAGTTTAGTCCTTTATTTACCACCCTGGCTAACTGCACAGGCGTGGGCAAGCTGTGGTACATTTAATGCATGGTCATAACATTACATAGTGGTATTACATTTGGATATTATCCTATAACATTGTTATGATAAGTACTTTATCAGTTCAAGGAAAGGAACAATTGCACAGATGATATGAAGTAGTTAAATAGTTCTCCGTACCTCATGCTAGGTGGTCTGAAAGGCTGTAACACATGGCACACTGAGATATAATGTACAAGTGTTCGCTTATATTCTTCATTACACACTTTACACTCAGTTTCTTCGACATTACAAGCTGTACTGACCTGCCAATACATTCTATATCCAAGCCTGATTCTTGCAGTCACAACATCACACTGTCTTGTTCTTGTTTTATATAAACCATAGATGAATGAATCTTGTCTAAACCGGTCCAAGTGCTTTATGCTACAGCTTTCAGGGCGTTGGGAATTAATTAACTCAGTCAAGTCCTCTTTGAAGGAAGCTTTAATGATGTATAAAATCCAAGAAAGAGGTATCCCAAGATCTATATCCACACTTTGTTTGTCACATGCTGACTTTGCTAGGCGATCTGCATGATCATGCGAAGGGATTCCATCATGCGATGGGATCCACACAAAACGTATATTATGGCCTCGTTCTTTTGCACGATACACGTTTATCCTGATGTCATTTGCAATATTTCCTGCATCTTTGTCTAGTGTTCAGAGCCTGGAGAGCACTCTGTGAATCACAGAAAATGACCCCTGAGCCTTGATTTAATAGAAATACCATGAGCATTCCTGCCAACTCAGTTTGCGTAGTGCTAGCCCAGTCATGAACCCTCCTACAATCCTAGTGCTGCAAAATACTGCTTTTATATACAACAAAAGCACATCCTGCTCTGCTCCCAGACTGTAAGGATCCGTCAGTGTAGCATTCATATGCATTGGGCAGAGTTTCTAGATGCTCATTTATAATTGCAAGTGCATGCTGCTTAAGTATAGTCATGCAGAAATTAAGTTAAGTTAAGTAAGTTTATTTACCACCCTGGCTATCTGCTCAGGCGTGGGCAATCATGATTACAGCTTTACATATATTGCAGAAATTAATATTTCAAATCGTATGAGCAAACCCCGTAGAGTATGTCGTGCGTTTTTTCGGCTCGGTAGGTCCAACTAATGTTTTGTTACAGGCTATGAAGTTCGTTTGCTTCATTCCCATCCTCGGCATGGAATTTTAACATTTCACTTTGATGTTATCTTTTAAAGTATAAACTTCCACAGATAACCAATTTCTATCGCCTGTGTGGTATGTATTTCTACCGGTTGTTGACACTCAGCGTTGCCCGTATCGTACCCACGCCCATTTTTTTTAGTTTTACTACAGATCGTATCATACCAAACCCATAACACGTAGCATCCTCAGATTCCTACTCTCCCCGTTCTGGCCCGTGCTATCACACCGCATCCAGGGTGTACAAGGCAACAGTTCCCGCATCAAATACCAATGGTGGCAGGTGTCTCCGAGTGCCTACCCTGACGTAACGTACCCATGCCGCCCACTGCCTCGAAGCGCTCACCTGAACAGTCAAGCCTACCACCGCGCACGTACCCATACTGCCTCGGTCCCGCAGTGCTTACTGTACCAACACAGCCTAATTAGCACGCGCCAAAAAAGTTGTTTGGTGGCCATAGCAGCGGGCAAAAAGTTTCACCCCGCATGAGGAGGTGACAACGACAGGCGTGGGTGTCTCTCGAACATGTCTTTGAGGGCACACTGAAGAGGGCAAGGGAAGGCGCCATGGGCGGGCCTCGGGTTAGGGCAGCTGCGGGGCTCCTCTACCACGGGCGGGCGGGCGGGTAGCTGTGGCAACGCCCGAGCAGGAGCCCACGCAGATGTCTGGCAAAACAACTGAACTTTGGAATTCGTGCGGGAGTGACCTCGCTCTCTGAGGCTGTGTTTTACATTTATTGGGGTTTAGGCACGAGGGAAATGGTCATTGCATTCCTTGTCGGTCAATTAGCTTGGGGATTAAGTGAAATGTCCTGTGCTATGTCTAGCTCCGGCCTCTCTTGTCCGGTGATTTATTCCTCACACATGGTTCGCTATTTTTTTACGAATGAAAATTTGGGGATGACTTATCAGGTATACGAACTCATAATTTTTATGTTACAGTAACTTATTCTGACTTCCGCATTGGGTCACAATAAAAAGACTAAAAGTATCTCCGAATGAAATGCCTAATCGGTATAATAGTAATAATTTTCTACTTGAATCAATATTTTCCCTTTCCTAATGGCATCTCGAACCAAGAACTCTTCTTCAAAAGACTTGGAAAAGCATCCGCATGACGAAATAGACTCTGTTCCCGGGTGAGGCTGATGGGTGCTCCCTGCACAGGACGTCCCATGGGTGTTCCTGCCGTGCCCTCTCCTCCGTCCTCGCCTTATACCTTGCCTGACACTTTATAACACAATGCCTTCACACGTTAGCTGAAAATAGAGAGACGGAACTCGTCAATCGGTGGGAAGTCTGAGTTAAGAAATGATCTCCTCGAGTCAAAATCTTTGAGTACTCTTGACAAACACACACATCCGCATTTCCGCGGGGTATAAATTATTCATCTACCTGTCACGAGATAAACCTGATGCCGTGCGTGGAGTGTCGGGTCATTTTAAATCATTTATCACGAAATGGGCAGCCCGGTTATGTTTCCTTTCATGCGTACATTGTGGCTCGCTATCTACTGTACTGGCGGCATCTTCAGATTTCTCTCCTCATTCATTGTAAAGTTGGCACCCACATCTCAGCTAGTACATCTGGCCTTTCAAGAACTTACCGCGGACCGAGAAATACCTGGTCTCAACTTTGGGAAATTATAAGAAATTACGGCTTTCTTTCAACCAGGAATGTCCGTTAGCACTGACGTTTACCAGAAAAATGAATGTATGGTTCAAATTTCATGTATGTTAAGCTCTGTCTTTTCAGTGCAAGTGCGTTGAAATATAAAGGTGTGAGGGACTACCTTTCCTCGCGGAGGTGCGTTAACCGGCGGGGACCGCTGCGCATGCCAGTCTCTTTATTAAATGTGTCAGAAACGACATATAATTTTCTAATCAACTTATCATTCGCCCCATAGTCAATATTATGGCGACCTTTATCTAAAGGTAGGTCCACCAAGATAAGATAAAAATGGAGTGGGCGAGGGTGTCCGGGCGTTTATTGGACGAGAGACGGCGCGCATAGCGGCGTGTGGCAACGCAGCCGACGGGGAGGCTGAGCAACCTCTTCTCGTCACAAGTGTCCAGGCATGTGAGGAGGGAGGACTGAGTTTTCACACAAAATCTACGTGATTTTGTTGTGTTAAATTCTTTTTATTACTGTGCTCTTGAAAAATTCTATCTGTGTTTTTGTTTGTTTATTTATTAGTTCTCTCTCAGTAGATAGATATGATAGTGTTGGAAAGAGTGCTAGAGTGCGAAGGTGGATCTGCCTTGTGTCCGGGTGTTTAAAACCTTGGAATAAAGTGATGGAGGTTTAGTGGGTGTTCGTGGTAGCGCCGCGGGCTGTGATAGCTGTAGTTAGTACCTGTGGAGAGCCAAACCTGCCCCAGCCCGCCCCTCCTACCTACCAAC